GTTCAACCCAGACCAAAGCCACTATTCTTGGCAGTAATTATTGTGGGCAAAGAGTATTTTTTCAAAATATCTAACAGAATCTTATTTCTATCTTTAAAACTTCTCTTTGCCTCAAACTCTTTGAATTTGACCCTCATTCATCATGATACATATTTCTATTACTGTCCTCTGCTATTCCTAAATGTCATTATCCTTCATAAAATCTCTGAATTTTTAAGCCGACAGCTTTAGACTTTACTACAATGGAAAACAAAACTTATTCCATCACCCTATAAGGACATTTGTGTGTAAAGCTTAATGAAGTTATGTGCCTGGAAGCTACACAAGCTAGATCATTACCATTTTATTTTCATTAAGATCAATTTTAGTCCGTTCGTACTGTTGTTTCCAATGCCAGATACTGCTAACTAAAGGCTCCCTTTACTACACTGTCTGAAATGTCTGTTTTCCTTTTCCTAACTTTTCCACATGTAGGTTTTCAGAGTCAGTCTTGGAACATGATAGTAGATTTATTCAGTTTAGATTCTCCAGACACACACAGATGTCACCTCAGCCAGACTGTGAAGGCTGTATGGGCAGATATGGGGCCTTTCTCCATTGCAGAGACTGAATAAATGGGCATCATGACTGGGTTTCTTATGCAGTAGTTACTCCTTGAAGTTTGGTGATCTAGTATTGATAGCTGTCACCCATCCCCTACCAAATCAGGAGCCCACAGCCCACACTGCTGAGTTTGGCAGTCTCCCAGCTGACCCACTTCAAGCCCACTGAAAGCAGTGATGACCCACTAGTTAGAGCAAGCCCATGTGACATCTCTTCATTCTTAAGTCAATTATGTTAAACTTGAGCATCTACAGCTCCCTGTCCTGTGAGCATGGCACGCACCCAGTAGAACAGAAGACTGCTGCTAAGGACAATGAGTGGAAACAAAGGATGGACCGTCCTTCACTTACCACGGGATTAGGTCTTGATTACCCAACCTAAAATCAACAGATCCCCCCCTAAGTTGAACCATGTTAAGCTGGGGACCATCTGCAGTTGAAATGTGACTCTGTCCTTCTGCTTTAGGTTCTAGGTCCTCCTACTATGAATGGTGGGTAAACATCTTCTTAAGCTATTGACTTCACATACACATATGAAAGTCAGGGTCACACCACTGCTGTGTGGGAAAGATTGAACTGGCTGTTGAACCTCTTCTACTTATAAGGACAGTTGTGAATCCACTGAGTCCCCCTGGGTGGCCCCAAATAACCTCCCCTATTAAGGTCCTTCATTTTATCTGCAAGGTCTCAAAATCACATATGTCATTTCAGATCAGGTCAGAGACCTGAATTAAAACATGCTGGTTTCAGATCTGTACTGGCCACTGACTCCCTCTGGTTAGACCCCACTTGTCAAACTTCCCTAGGAAACTAAAGGTTTCACTATATGTTGGCTTTTTTAAGGAAAATAAACTTGGCAGCATCTGCCCACTCCACAGTGCTGTTTGCCCATTTTTATTTCCATGGGATAAAACCAAGCTGCTTTGCATGACACTGAGTTCATCACAGTACCACTTCTTCAGTCTCCTCATCCACCCTACATCTTTCTTTGTACATCCTGTGTTCAGTTTCTACAGCTCCGATAGCAAGGTCTCAAAATACATTGGTGGAGCATTTTCTTGTCTATCATAATGGTGTTTCTTCTGCCCACAGGCCCACCGACCTCCGCAGAAGAGTGCAGCCCATTCCTCAGTTAACCCTTAACAGCCCAGGGAAAGCTGACCGGGCCCAGGAGGCTCTCTCCCCTTGCAACCCCAGGGTCTCCCTCCTCTGCCTCCGAGGGTGCCTGTGCTCATAAGAACTACGGTACTTATCTTGTACTGTAATGTATCTGTCCTCAAGCATGCATCGATTTGACTACTCATACTGTCTTACTCATTTTTGCAGGCAAAGTCTTAACTATAAATGTTTATAGGGAAAAATAATGTGACCCTTTAAAGCATAAAGACTTCAAGAAGAAACGGACAAGAACAACACCTTCACAAGACTTCTGTTTGGAACATAACTTAGCAGCTACTTCTGGCAGCTTTCAACTGCTCATTACCACAATCAGTCAAACCCCTTAATCTTCTAACTATTCCAGTGAGGTAATACTTGGATTACCAAACATTGTCAAAGTGTCCTTCTGAGTTTAGACAGACAAGCTGCACCTCAAGGGCTGGGTTAGATGCCAAGTTAGGTGTGATATCATCTGCGTGATTTCTGAATTTAAAAACAAAGTACTTGTCTAACAAATCCAACTGGCTCGTTTAGTATTAAAGGCTGTAATATTTACTCAGTGTTTCAATATCTACAAGTTCTTGCATAAACATTATTAAAATTCCAAATAAAACAAAATGTAGATAGCCTCAAGTATTTCAATATAAGCCTTGATCCAAAGAGTAGTCAAATAAAATAAGGCCACATAAGTGGAGAAAGATCTATTTTTAAAGACAAGGGTTTGCCATGAACGCAGAATGTCACCAACATCACACAGCACAAAACACAACACAGAATGAAACCAAGGATTGTGTGTCTGGCAGTTGAGCTGAAGACGTCTAGGAGCTGTGTTTAAAAAAGAGATTATCCGCAGGGCGTGGTTGAGCACACATATAATCCCAGCAATGGGAGGCTGAGGGAGGAGGATGTTTGTGAATTTGAGGCTACAGAGTGAGTTCAAAGCCAGCCTGAACTACATATTGAGACCCTGTCTTAAAAAGGGGGAGGGGGAGAGGGAGAGAGACAGAGACTGGGAGATTATCCTCTGTGCTGTAACTTGGATATCTTTTAAAATTAGCAATAATAAAATTCCTTCAACCACATTCATGTTGGTTTTGTCAGTTTTAGCTAAAGGGATTGTGGAGTTTTTAAAGCCAAGGGCAGTATGTAGATAAGCCTTTGGTTATATTTCAATTGCTTTTCCTAGTACTGAGGAAACAGAACATTTATACCCAGAAGGGGTGGTATGGATTAAACGTAGCATTCACAAAAGGTAAACTAAGGCCCAGCTGCTTCCTATAGGTCAGAAAGAGCCCAAGGCAAGGGGAGACTGAAGCCTACGAACTCGGGCCTGCTGTGCAGCGCCAGTCGCGCCTGTGTACTGTTTTTCACTGCAGATTTTAAACTTGATACCGTTTTATGCCAAAGGTAAGCGCTATTATTCAGCATGTGTGTTGGGCTCCTCAAACTGCTAGATTCTTCTATAAATTCATTTAGAAATACATGTTCAAGCAATGAGCACCACCAACCAAGCCACTTGGCTAAAACGGAGCAGGGAAGGTCTAATCTGTACAAATCAGAGGCATGCTGTTACCATCATTCGTTTCCATATGGGCATTCCAAGCTTCTCCTGCTATCAAGTCGGGATTATGTACAGGCACAGCACAGAGACAAGCTGTAGAAATCACTGAGAACCTGGAATCCTCGCACGATCTGGAGCCATCTCAAGCTTTCAAGTGAGCCCTCACCACACAGGCTGTTCTCATCCACGTGTACATCACTATACATACTATTAAGGTGAATTAAAAATGTCAACAAACCATACACCTGTAACCTCAGCATTCTGGGTGGCTGAGGCAGGAGGAAAACATACTTGAGCCTATGCTGGACAACTTTAGAAATGATCTGTCTCAAAATTTGAAAAAAAAAAACCAAAAAACCCAAAACAAAAACCGACTACAAAGGCCTGGAGAGGTAGCTCAGCATGAAGACCCCACATTCAGTGCTCAGTAGTACCACCACCACCCACCCACCCACCCCCACACGTCCCCCCACGTACACAGTGAACAAGAAGTCTGTAAGAAGCTTAATAAATAAAACAACTGAACTCACTAGAGGCAAAACTAGTTCTCACTAGAACAACAGTTGTATACCTTGCCCTTATTACGGACAATAATCCCAACAGTGGTGGTTTTAGGAGCAAAAGTAGAACCATTAATGAGGTTGCAAATTATATTTTCAGTATTATTTAAACGTCTGTAGAATTACATCTTTCTTTTTCCTGAAATCTTCTCCCACCCTGCATTTCATCCTGAACATTTTACTATGTTCAGCATAGTAGCAACTGAAAAAAAATGTGTTTCATTTAGAAACAAAAGTGAGAAAGCTTCAAAAAACATTGCACTAGAGCACTGCTAGGTTTCCAAGTATTTAATATAAAGCTAAAGGCAATATGAAGACGGTTCTACAGTAACCAAACTTTTCACAAGTGCCTTTAAAAATAACCACAATCGAACCATAACAGGTTATTTTTTACAACATGAGCACATAACGGATCAGCAGAAAAAAAAATTTTTTTTTGTTAATTTGCTTTGTCAGTCATGCAATTTGCAAGCTCAAAATTTTTTAGAGGCAGGCCGACTGTTGCTCAATATTTTAATAAATCTGTTCTTCAATGACTTTATTATCCAAGTCCACAAGGCACATTTTCTCATCCCAGGCCATGAAGTAATTCCATGTCAACTTGCTTTGGTGTCAAATGCGACAAACTCTGAGAGCTCCAGTCGCCAGGCGGCGGCTCTCAGCTCCAGCAGCTTCCCACACTCCCGCAGCATCAGGACGCGGCGCCCTCTGGGTTCCGACACAGAACCCGCACTCATCGCTCTGAGGGCTGAAACCAGAGCACCTTTCCCCCAGTCCGGGGAAACTGAGGCACAGTGACCTCAGCGATCCAGAGCCCAGCTAAGGCCTGGAGCATTGGCATCCTCCTTTCTAAGGGGAGTCGCGGGGCAGCTGTGGGGCAGCACGCAGTGGACCTCGCGCTCCCCGCCCTCCGAGGTCACCCGAAACCCCAGCCCGCGCAGATCTGCGCATCCTGCGTCCCCGAGCCCGCTGCCCCGATCCAGCAGAGCCCCCAGCACCACGCCTCGGCTGCCGGCTCTCCCGACCCGAGCGCCCGAAAGTTCCGCAGCTCCGCTCGGCCTCCAGCTGGGTGCAGGCTCCCGCCCGCCCGCGCCCCGCCATCCGCGCGCCCTGGCGAACCTGACTCTGTCGCGCCACTCACGGGGTCGCCGTGCGCCCCTCGCCATGGCCAGCCCGAGAGCGCCCGACGCCCGGCAGCGCGGGTGCGGGAGCCTCCACCGCCGCCTCCTCCTCCGGCGCCTCGCAGGGATGCGGGCTGCCGCGGACCGCCCGAGTGCGGCGCTCCCCACCTCAGCCGCGGAGCCGGCCGGCGCCGAGCATGCCCAGTGCGGCGCTCTGTGGCCGCCGGGTTTTCGCGGCAGCCGCGGGCGGGCGGGGCGGGGTCGGCGGGAGGCGCCGCGGCGGCCGGGCGAGGCTAGCTGCTGGCACCCTGGTCCGCGGACGCAGCCTATTGCTGTGACGCTAAGCCGAGCTCCGCAGTGCACCGAGGTGGCTGTCCTGCCGCGGGCGCTCCCTCCAGACGCTGTCGCGCGAGGGCTTGCGTGAGGGAGCCTTGTGCGGCTCGGGCGCCCCACGGCCTGCGCCGCAACTTTTCCGAGCGCCGCCACGCGGGTGCCTAGGACAGCAGGGCAAGGCGTGGAGCGCGGCCCGGACGATGCAGGGAGCCCACGCGGCTGGAGGCAGCGGGGCGGCACAAACCCACCCACCGGAGGCTCGTCCCCGTGACTCCGACAGTGGGCTGCGAGGTGGGGGGCTCAAAACTGCAGACTCCGCATCTCCTCTAATGCGCAATTAAATTGCACTTTAGTAGAAAAAAATAATTACTCTGAAATTATTTTAGGAACCCCTGCCAAGTTCTCGCTGCGTGAACCTGGTGTGTTGGTGGAGCTTTTGGAGACTCGGGAGGGCGCACCAATTTCTAGGACAAGCCCTGCTTCTCCTCCTCCCAGCCCTGTGCAGCCCCCAGCCAAGCCGTCCTCGCCGCCGCAGGTTGCTGCGAAACTCCGGAAAGGTGGATTTGGCGAACTAGTTCATGTTCCTGGTGGCGCCGGCAGCTGGGCTGGCCGTTCTGCCGCCGGGTCAGGGAATGGAGTCAAGAAGAGAGGCGGCTGTAAGCAATTCCCAGCCTCTCTCCCCTCTCGGTTTCGGGCAAACTAGTGCCTCCCACCTGCGCCTCCCCAGCTCTGACCTCCCTGAGGCTCCGGCGCCCGACTGAGCATGCTCAGGCTGGGCTGCCACCGGCGTCCGAGCTTCGAGTGGCTGCGCTAAGCAGTCGAGACCTGGAGCCCAGGGGACCGAAGCAAGATCCAAGGGCGCGCGACTTGCGTGCACGTGCCTGCGTGCAGGTCACCAGTGCAGAGGGCCAGAGGTGCTCCGTGAGACCTGGCTTCCAAGTGAATCGATACCTAATCCTTCCCTAGAAGGTGTCTGTTGGAACATCTTTGATCATTAGTTTTGAGGCATCACATTTTAACACGTAGAACTTTCCGGCTTGTTTTCCCCTTTAAGAAGCCTCAAGTTTCTTTTCCAGGTATTCAGTGAGAATTCTTTACAGTTGGCCTAAAGCGCTAAGATAAATCTGTGTCCTCACTGTCAAATCATTCTGCAGTATTATATTCTATTTTCTTCTCAGGCACTTCTGTATTCACTGTTTCTTTTCCTCCTCATTCCTCTTTGATCTCAAAACCTGGGTGCAGAATACTCTCATAATATCTTAAAAATGCTTGTAGAGAGTGTGGGGAACTACCTTTTAATACTCATTTGCAAAAGAGAAGACAAATGGAGAAAGGTTACAGGGAAAATACTTTATGGTTTTGAAAGTAGTGAACTCAGAAACACAAACAGATGGAGCTGGAGATGGATAGAGGTGGATGAACTAGAGGTAGATTACATTTTGTTGTGGTTTTTGGCTGAGGGCTGGAAGACCGCGGGGTTTGGTGTGATATAGGGAACCCCATTCGTTCCAGTCTGTAGGCCTGAATTCAGTTTCACTACAGCTGGAAACAACCTCTCGAGGAAGCTCACTCTTCAAAGAATATATTTGTGCCTATCCTCAAAGGCTAACATTTTCCAGGATCACCCCCTTCAACCTCCCTATCTTGGAGACTCTGTTCTTGCTGGTAGCCCCAGAACCCTGCTCCTGAAGGGCTTCCCATGGACATGCAGGTCACTCATAGTTTAGCTTGGAAAAAGTGTTAAAGATGCCTCTTCGGCAGCCTATGCTGTGGCTGCCCCTACCTACTGGAGCTTTTACGTGACCTCGTGATTCCCTGACCTCCCCAGCTGTTCTCCATCTTCTCATCCTCCAGGATCTCTTCCTTTACACCAGCCCATTGTAGGAGGTCTCGGGTCTCTTCCCTTTTGCTCGCCTATGGTTCCTAGCATGGTTACTGGTCTGTCCATCCACCCAGCCACTTACATCACAGATCTGGAAATTTCAGTCATTCATCTGCCTTTCCAGTACCTCAGCTGCCACTGCTTCCCTCCTCATGTCATCACTTGTGCTGCCATCTTCAATCCCCACCATCCTCTCTTCAACCATAGAGCAGTGACCTCCTAAGTGGCTCCTGCCTCTCTACCTCCTCCCAGCTATCCTGTCTCCTCAGACTTTTCTTCTTAAGCAAATTATACTACACTATGTCTTCTAAACATTCTTGAGTGAATTTGCAATAGAAAGCCTGAGTTTTAAACATGAACCAGCCCTTGTTTGCCCCTCTGGGTTAATCCAGCTGGGGTCCTACATCCCAGTGAATCAAAATCACCTTCTGCATGAGTCCATGCCTCATCCACATGTTAGTTGGTTTGTCTCTCTTTTCCTTTTGTTCTCCTGACAAATGTTGAGCCTTTTAAGTTGTGTTCATGCTTGTGTCCTTTGGCCTTCTTGGGCGACAGACTTTCTCCTGGGTGCTTCACCTGCACAGTGGCCTTTGTCTTCATTGTGACACCATTGTAACATCTTATTTTCTTTCATCTCCTTTCTGGCACTTCAGGCAACTTGACAATAAGGGTTAAGTCTCAATCCTCTCTGTATTTACTGAATGATGGACATACACTGTATACTATTTAAAGTTCATTAATTTTAAAATTTATTCTTGGGAACTGTCAGAACTGTAACTATATTGAAAAGACAAAAATACTAGAACAAAGTCACATCAGATGCAATCAGCTCCGTGGTAAGCTCCTTTGAGTTATGTAGGTGAGATCTCAGGTTTGACTCACTTAGAGCCAATGAGTATTTTCACCTACAGTATTCAGGGAGTTATTTGTGGGCCAAACTGACATACCTGTTTTACTGGCTTATAATTGCATGATGCTTAACATCGTCTTAATAATTAATCCATGCATTCCATTGTTCTTTCACCAGGGTTCCTTCTATAGTGTAGCTCTAAGGTTCTAATGATGTGATTACTCATTAGAATAAATTTTCTATTTTCTGTTGAAAGTGTGTCACCCTAGAAGGACAGATACACCATTTAGGAATTGGTGTAATTTTTATAGTTCTACCCACTCCCATTGTCAGCTAACACTTAGGGGTCAGGAGGTAACCACCTGCTTCAGAATCCTGGGGAATGATGAACTCGCTCCAGAATTCCTAGATAGAATGGTAAAAGAAAAATAACAACTATTGGTCCCATACTACCAGTGAGCCCCAGTTTGGTTTTCTTTGATAGATACCTATGCAGAGGTTGAGTATCAGTCTGCTTTTAAAATTATCAGCCACATTTGTATTTATTAAGTAGCCTCAGCTTGTATTAGATTCTGGAGGACATAGAAGCATAATGAAATAGCTGCTTATTTTTGCACTTGTTGACCCTCTCAGGGACGTTATTTGATAACCAGTGGAAACCCAATGTTGTTTTCCAGCACATCTTCCCTAAATTCTGACGCCTTCGACAGACAACATGTAGGGCAGTGGAAGTTTTGACCTTGTACCAAGACTGGAAAGGGCAATGAGAAGCAATGATCCTGTCTGAGGCTTAAAGGAAGCCATTCCTTCTCTGGTCTTGTGACCTGTTGGCTGGGGAGAGCAAAGCCCCAGAAAAGGCTGAGTCAGTGTTAGGAGGCTACTTCCTTCCTCCTCATGGCTTTAGGCTGTGCGCTGCGGTTGAGCCTTCGGAGGTATGCATGCACACGTGTGGTCTAACCAGTTTTCCTGCTGGAGAAATCAAGGGATTTAATGGCTCACCTGTAACTCAGAGGAAGCAGAACACCCAGCCCGACAGGTTGCAACCTTCCTGACTTCCCTCAAAGATCACACTCAAGCTCTTCTCTCCTAGACAGTCTGCTAGTGTGGGACAGTGAAGGCCTTCTCGCCAGTCCCCCACCCCAGCTTTGTGGACTGAGTGATGTGGATTATTGGCAGGACAGCGAGTACACTAAAGATGATTTCTTCTGTGTGGGGAGCTGGTTTCCTGAAAGCTGGGCAATGCTTGCATGAGGTGGTTAGAAGACACCTCTGGTAATCCAGGTATAAAACCTCAATGTAGGAGCTGGCTCAGCTCTAGAAGGGACTGCTCTATAAAGAATTAGATTGTGCAGATACTTTGCCTCTAGGTTCTGGAAAAGCATATTTTGTCTATAGCCTGAAGCTTTGTACTTCTGGTTTGTAATTTTTCTCAGGAAGGAGAAATGGTTATGCATTCCTCTGTTGGATAGAGGAGGTTGGGTGACAGAAGTAATCACACACACACACACACACACACACACACACACACACACACACACCAGACTTAAAGAAAATAATCAAAATGTATTCTACAGGTTGTGGCACTCCTGGATGAATCTGTGGTTTATCTTGACAGCAAGGGCATGTGACCTACTTCAGAGTGCTGGACAGAGGGGCTAGCAAGCCTAGAGTTTCTGGCAGCTTCATCTAGACTTCGGCAAGAATTGCTGATGTGCTTCTGCAAATTCAAAAAGAAATCCAGAAGTAAACTTGGCAAGTTGCATTGTGATTTTCTGTGTTGGCAGTATTTTTCTGTTTGAGTAGTTGTTCACTACAATTAAGAAGAAAGGAGAAAATTGTGTATTTTATCTTTTGGATACATGCAGGCTGGATGTGAAAGCTTTTAAAAGTGTGGCCAAGGCAGGAAGGAAGAAGCCAGGATAGATGGCTGGGAGCTCAGACGTCTGGGGCAGAACAGAGGTTGGGATGGAGAGAATAGGACTTGAAAGGCACTAGTAGCCTATGCAGCCTTGGCTGGTATAGGCATCTGGCTTTTCTTAGGACCTTCCTCTCTGCTGGGTAGAACAGTGGCCAGTTGTCCAAAACCCTGCTCCTGCTCTGAGGAGCTAAACAG